CCTGTGGCTCAGCTTCTCTACATTTAACTGTGTTCCAAGATCAGAGGTTTGCTTCACATACTTATGTATTCCCCTCTTCTCCTGATCATAAGGTAACATATGCTCAAAACAGAGACAGTGAAATTTGGGAGCCCACCCGCAGTTATGAAATAAGAAAAAGAATGATACTAGTTTTGTTGGGTTGTCACAAGCAAAGCTAGAATAAAAAATGGTTGTTGTAAAGATCAAATTACATAAAATAAGTCATGTTTATTATAACTATAGTATGCTAACCAAATATGAATTTATATTATCCAATGATTTTCTGAACAAATGATTAGACAGGGTTAGATCTATGGCTATCCTTCTCTCAGCATCAACTAAAAAGAAAAGTGGTGAGAATTTTGTAAAAGACCGTTGAACAACATATCCCCATAACTTCCAGAAGAGTAATTGCTTTAGAAACGTGAGATATCACATTAGACAACATCTGAACAGCTGTACTCTAAATTATATGCATCATTATTTATAAAGATTTATTTTTAAAACTATGTCCACGTAAATCAAAGGGTGCTCGTCACTGAAGTGCTGGGATTAAAACAGAATGAGGGGAGTCAGGCTAGCAGACTCAGTGCTGTCACAGGGGGACTTTCGACTCATGCAAGGCTGTGATCCTGTAGTCTCTGGAGCTCCAGATGCAGGCAGAAGCATGTATGTCTTACAGGAGGCTCTGTCAGGTGTGGCTGTGTGATGACAGCTGCTAGGAATGACACACAGATTGGGTGGCACTGCCTTCACCTCCCTGGCTTTAGGAGGCCCTTGGGGGAAGCTGTTACTGTTTTTTCCCAGGAGAGAATAGGGAAACCTAGAGGAACTGAGTGCTTCCTGGAAGGGAACTGAGATGGACCTTGCAGCTCTGTGGTGCTCTGCCTGGTAGACAGGGCGGTAAGAGTAAGATGGTGACCTGAAACCCATCTGTGAACCGGAAGCCCTCACTGATCACCGAAGATCCACCATGCTGGCACCTTGACTGCAGACATCCAGCCTGCAAACTGAGAAATCTCTGTTCCTTGCCAACCTCATAATTTAGAATGCTTTCAAAGTCTGTATTTAAGGTTTTAATAATGTTGTTAATTCTTGATTTGACTTTAGCTTAATTTAATTTCATTTTGTTTGTTTTTGAGATGGTCTTTTGTGATTCATGCTGGCTTGAACTCATGACATAGTTGAGTATAATCTTAAAATCTGTGTTTTTTTTTTGCCTCTACCTCCCAAGTGCTGAGATTACAAGTGTGTACCGTATCCAGCTGGTTGCTTATAGCAGACTCAGAGACAGAGTGAGGCTTGCAGGGTATGTGTGGAATTATGATTTTCAAACAATGCACTCATTTACTCAGAGACCCTTTGAGTAGGTATAAATTGCATCCTCCTCCTCTGAAAAAAAATCCCAGTGCTTGGCCAGGGTGGTATCCAGGCTGTAAAGAAATTGAGTTTTGACTGCTCCATGCACTGATGCATGGGTGTTTAAATCTGCTCACCTACTGCACAGGAGGTAGTGTCTGTAAGAGGAGTGGGGAACTAGTTTTCATCCCTAGGTAGATCTGGGCAGTAGGAGTGGAGGTCCTGTGCTCCCTGCCAGCCTTCTCTTGGAGGCCAGAGAGAGGCATGGGATGCTTAGTTATCACCTGCTCCTCCAACACACATGGAGATGTGCAACCCTGAGACAAGAAAGTGAATGAGGGACTGATGGGATGCCTGGGGCTTGTTGTACACAAGACTGTCAGGAGGCAATCTGGGTGGCCAGGCTTGAGAGGAACTATGGGAGGATAGTGGCCTCAAGAGGGGGCAGAGGCACTACTTGGGGCTTGCTTTTGGAGCAGTTGTGGGGAGAGAAGATGGCTTTACTTGTTAGCTGGTCATTGTCTAGCAGCAGAGATATTTCTGTAGGCTCACTGATGGTACCTTCTCACCAGACCCCTTTGAGGTTGGGGTACACATTAGTCCAGAACCCTACTTTATAGAAGGCCAAGGCCTACAGACATTGTACCTCATGAATGGTCACAGGTGAAGAGTGCATGGAGACAGGATCACCTGAATGGTGCCTTGGCAGGCAGAGCCACTGTCAGCTGGTGTCAAGGGACAGAGACTCATGGCTGGGGTACACATGTAGACATGAGAGGAGCCATATATTGGGTTGTTGGAAGGCCCTGGCATGTAAAGGCAAAGGCTCATAGTATGTAAAAGAGATTGCCCATGCCACTCTGGGTAAATTCCTTCTCATACCAACTTCTCTGAAGGACCCTGTTTCTTCTTTTAGTAGTCTTGTCATCGTTTGCACAAGTGTGTCATTATTGCATGTGTGACCCTAACCTCACTCTATCTCATATTCTAGGAGCTCAGGAGCATTGTTCATTTCCCACTGCACACGTCATGCCAGCATGATGCCTGCAACAGGGGTGCGCCACAAAGATTTACTGAGTGAATGCAAACTTGGCTGGAACACAACTTGTAGAAAAGGCTTATGCGCTGCACTAGGGACTTGTGGCTTGGTCGTCTGTCCAGTGCAGTTGGGGATGGTGAGCTGAGCATCTGTGGGGTCAGGAAGCCCTATGTGGAAATGAGCAGAGGACAGATTGCATATATATGCATATCGGAATGCATATTGCGTGCCTGAATGGACAGGAGACCACGCACTGCAGTGGAAAGTAGAGGGAGATCTTGCTACCTGACTAGACAGGAGGAAGGGGATTCACATGGAGAGTGGCAGCCTTCTGCCTGGTCCTGGGCTTCCTTTGCAGCCTGGCATGGAGTTTGCTGTCTGGCATCACTGAGCTGCCAGGTGGTGTCTGGCTGCTGCTTGTTGATTACAGCTTGAAGTGCTGTGCTTTGGTCCCATGCTGCCACGCAGCATGGAAATCCAGTGTCACTCTAATGAGGTTTCTGTTCAGATTCTGGAAAGAAGAAAGCCTTTTAATTAGATTGGTAGTAATTGAGCTCCCAAACCACAGAAGCCTATCTCTCTCTCAGGAGAGGAAGACACAAATGCAATTAAAGAAGAAAAGTTACCTGAATGGAACTCTTGCTAACTCTAAGACCATTAAAAACAACAGCTCCCTAATAAGTTGAGGCAACAGATATATGTCATGAAGAACTTAGCAGTGCTTTCCAATAGTACTGGAGGTTGAACCAGGACTAGAGCACTCCTGAGAATAAAACCAATGGTTCTGTCAGGGATAGCTTGCTCAGTATGGAGCCTGAGGACACATTAGCTTTGCAACTATTTACCATTAAACATATTGGCACATTTATTAGAAAAGTAGGTTTTTCCTTCCTGTGGTCAACTTGCAGCTTCTTTTGAACCCAGCTCCTAACCTGGGACCCCCAGGCACATCGTTCCATGCCCTTCCACAGATAACCAGCCTTCTCTTTTGTAGTTGTCCATACTTGCTCATTTCACCCTGACAGGTCCCCAGTGGCTGAGCAGCTGGATATAGGGGCGTTAATGCATCAAAATGTTGCTGCCAATTTCTTATACATGTGCTACATTTACATTTTCATGAGGGGCATCATTCAGGTGTCATTTTCATCCCTAGTTACTGACTGCACTCTGGCAGGTACCCTGTGCTGTCAGGGAGTTGGTTTTGGGTGAGTGTCCATCAGTGAACCAGGCCAGGTAGTTCCTTATATGAAAATTCAAGGTGCCTACTACATCTGGGCTGGTGTTCATGTGGGCATTCATGAACACTTTCCCTGGAGGGTGTCAGTTACTTGAGGTTGTAATTGATGATTCCAAACTGATCGATGGCATGCTCAGTATAATTATTGGACAAACTTTGCTGATTTCCTTGTATGTTGATTTTTGCTAGACCCTGCTGGCCTTGGCTGTGATAGAGTGCTGGTGGTCTGCCAGTTGGAAAGGCCTAGTTTGATGATACTCTTATTCAGATGGTATGCCAGTCAACTTTCTGCCATTAGAACAAATATCTAGACAATAAACTTATAAAGAGAAGAGATTTGTTTGGGTCACAGTTTTGAGGTCCTGGTCTACAAGTACTTGTTCCTAGTGCCTTGGGCCTATGGCAAGGCAGGAGATCATGATCAGAGCCTGTGGCAGAACAAAACTGCTTACCTCATGGCCAGAAGCAAAAGGGAAGAGGAGGAAGGGCTGATATCTCACTATCTCTGGCAAATGCATGCCCTACATCACCTAATAACCTTCCACTTGACTCATGTCTTAAAAGGCTCTACTATTTTCCAGTAATGCCAAGGTTGGGACCAAACCTTTAACAAAAGGACTTTTAGGTGAGACTTAAGATCTAAGACCCAAACTCTAGCACAGGCCTTGTGTTTGAACCAAGGCATGGTTATTGCTCCTTCCTAATCTCCCTGGAATGTACATGGACTTGATGTCCTGCCAGATCCCATTTTAGAAATGGAGAAAAATGAACTCTGGGATCAGAAAGATGCAAGTGTAAGGGGCTGACTTCTAAGGTCACAACATCATCCTGGCCCTGTGTTTACTCATCTGGTTAGTATTTACCTTAGAGGTATGTATCAAGGGTCTGACATGTCACTAACATGTCAGATAGAAAAAGAGGAAAGAGCCCAGACCCATGCAGGCAGAACCATGGCCTCTTTGGGCCCTCAGCATAGGACAGAGGCTCCATGTGACCCTGCCTCTTCCTTGGGGGAGTATAAAAAGATAAATCGCAAAGTCCTTAGCAGGCTTCATTTCTGATGCTAGGCCTGCCTGATTTTAATTTTCTTCTTTATATTTTTCTGTCCTTTGTAAATGCTCTATAATAAATGTGTATTACTTCAGAATAAATAGAAGAGCTTGACTCTGGGGAAATGCTGCTGGCATAGATTTGGAAATGCCTGGTGCATTCTAATTCCCACACACAACAGTGATCCCCAAAGTCAGATTTGTACGTGAATAACTGTATCATGCCCTCTTTTGTGAAGCACATAAACCATATTTATGCTGCCTTTTCTAATTTCTTTCTATTTCTTTTCTTAAGGACGAGAAGAATCAAGTTTTAACCACAAACATTTGGCTACAAATGGTAAGTTCAGACTGGGGCAGTCCTTGCCATGGGTCTTCCTGCTCTTGACCCTTGTGCATGTATCTGACTTTCGTGAAAGGCAGTAGTCCCCAGCAGAGCCTGGGCTGTTGCTCCCGACCCCATAGTAACAACCGTGAATGCTGAAGGATCATATGTGCAGACTGTCATGTCTGGCAGAATAGAACTGAGGATGCCAGACTGACAACAGCAGGGCTCAGCGCTTGCTTGGATGATACTGATGTGTGATTTGGGGATATTTCAAAAACATTCATGCAAAACAAATAATCAGTGAAGGCCTGAAGGCCTGCATTTAGATATTCACAGTCTGTATATTAGCCACTCTTAGCTCAGCAGCACCTCACCTGTCCTCCACCCTCTCAGGAACTGCATGAGAGACTGAGGGTTTCTAAGTTGAAGTCTTTATACTTCATGCTGTCATGACTCCTGTGAGAATCTTGAATGATTCTTAGGGTGCTCATGCCTGATTCGAAAAATCCATAATCAGAAACTCTTGGACGCATAAAACATTTTGATTGCCCAAGTGCCACTCAGACTGTTTGAGACTGATTTTGGATTTTCAAATTTTTGGATTAGTGATGCTCAGCTGGCAAAGTCTATGAAAATATCCCCAAATCCAAAAACCTTGAGGATCTGAAACACTTCTGGTTAGTAGCATTTTGGATAAGGTCTATTTAACTTGTATTTTATTCTTGAATGTTTACCTTGGCGTGTATGTTTCTAATCTGTATTTAATTAAATTCAAGTGGTATCAGTTCTATCATATTGTAAGTAGAATTTAAGCCTAAAATGGTCAGTCTATTTTTGGTGGCATCTTCATATCACATTAATTCTATGTCAATATCATTTATTTAAAAAAACCATATAAACATAGATCTCTTTAACTCTCAGATATTTTACATAGTCATT